CAAATGATATTTATTAAAATGATAATAATACATGTGTATGACCTCCATGATATTTTCACTTTCTTACCCCACCTCTCTCTCTCTCTCTCTCTCTTCCATTCCAAAGATTCAATTGGAATAATATAGCGATAATGTAACTTTTATGACTCTCTCTTTTCCACTCTGGTTAGAAGATAGTAAGCCCGCATTTGTGAGTTCCCAACTATGTTATTTGCGTCGAACCATGGTCCGTACTTACTAACTTCGACTCTATCAATAATTTAGAATGAGTAATTGAAACTGCTTAATATTCTTGATGATATTCAGATTGGTCTATTTGATTTAATAGGAAAAGCTCAGCGATGGATGTTGCGTCATGCGATGGGCATCCTGCGTTCCGCAGTCTCATTTACAGGAGCTCGGCGCAAACACGCGCTCTCCCCTAGGTCTGCGTTCAAACATGTCTGGTTAAGTTACGAGCAAGAAGTGATATATAGCAGTAACCCCGCTTGATTTGACAAGTTTGTCGATAATGGCGTTATTTTATGTCATCTTATGAGTCTGTATCCCGGATTTGACCCAGCGGGTACAGGCCTCTGAAACTTTGCTCATCACCGTGTTTTAGCCACCGTTAGCTAAGGTTTATGTCTGGTATGTATTCTACCTGAATTTGTTTTGGATCATTTTCTTTTGTAGACATGCAGAATTAAAGCATAAATTGGTTCTATATACAAATATGCAGTCACATGTAATGAATGAAAATATTCTGTATCTTTCTCGACTTTTATTGCTAACCGTAAGCATGAATAAATGTAATTGTGGTTTTGAACATATCAAAAGCTGAGCAATATGTTTTTGTAAATATCTCCGAAAAAATTAGGCAACACATACTGATAGGACGCGGCCACGGTCAATGTTAAACTTGTAACATGCTCTCGCTCTCTCTCTCTCTCTCTCTCTCTCTCTCTCTCTGACACACTCATACATGTACACACATACACGCACACGTGCATGCGTTCGCACGCTCAGAAACACACACACAAACGCGCGCCTTATTACTTATGAAAAACCTCCTGACATTCCGTTCCCTGCGTTATTTCACCTCATTACTTTGATCGTCAATTGAGAAGTTTTGATGTTGTCTAGTGTCACCATTCCAAGGTTTACATATCACCGAACCATAAAACTCAGCTACTCCCTTTCTAATGTTATCTCATTTCATTTCAAGTCGTCTGAGCTATGAGTGACTGTCACGCGGCGGAATCGGAGTAGAGATAACCTTGGTGTCACAGAGATGAATAAGAATGGATTATTTTAGGTTAATATAAAGTTTACATGAGCTAAAATTTGTTGGCTGTTGCACCTGGTTTATTATACCAAGACACTTACTTTATGCTGGAATTTCTTTTGAACAACCGAAGAGCGTGTCAGTGTTTCTAATTCCAAGAAGCAGTGGTAAAATGTATTTTTATACCTTACAGATGGTATAAACGATATATTTTCCGTGTCATTTTTGATATTATTTTTCTTTGCAATAACGGATAATTACCCAGTTTTACGATTTTTGAATTGGCTTTTAAACCTTTTCATTTGCTTCATTGACTTTTTCACCTGGCATACTTGCATAACGAATGCACGCAAAGGATGATTATCATATGCAATGTTGTCTCTATACTAGTATACAACTGTGAGTTCTTTAGAATTACTATTTTTATCAAAATGACAATTTCTGACTCTTTTTTATTTCAGAGGTAAAGGCGACAGTTTCTTAAATTTCACTTGTCTTGAACAGCCTCTTTCTTTTCAGTTAGCCTGCTTTATTCTTTTTGAGTGATTAAATCGCTACGTGCATAACAAAAATCATATAGACAGATATTTTATTGGTTTTATTGTTACCAAATAAGCAAAGGAAGTGGTACAATACAACAGAAATAAAAAAGAAGTTCTAAGAACAAAGTTAACGCTATTAAAATAAATGCGTCTAAAACAAGCAAGACAGCACCTCTGTTCTTAAAGTTGATTTAATTTCAATTGCATTTGAGTCTCTGACTGCAAATCTTTTCATAGTGGCAAATATGCTGTAAGTAAAAGTAAAAGCAGAAGTCTTGCTCAGCGACAATGTAGTTAAATGTATTTAATTCTATACTTAAAGTTATCGTTTGACGAATAGACTTCAGATCTTGTAATGGCTTAACACGGATGGGATCCCACGTTGGTGCAGCTGTTTAGACCAGGAAATTTTTAATGAAAGCAAAAGTCTTGGTTATTAACAATATAGTTAAGTATATTTATTCCTTTACGTAAAGTGGCCGTTTGGTGAATAGGCTACATATCCAGTGATGGCTTAACACAAGGGCGGGGTCCCACGTTGCTACAGCTATTTAGATCAGAAAATGAGCCCTGTGACTGGGCTGCCCACGGACCATACCACACCCTGAACATCGCACGGGGTTACTCAGTTCTGGGTATCACTGGTCACCGTCGCTGAGATAAAATCGCACGCCCTCACTGCACAGCTCTAGTAGATGTCGTTTAGGTAAGTGAACAGGTGCGCGTTATCGTACAGGTGATCTCCGTTATCTCCGTCCACTGGTCATCTAATGGTCAGTTGGAGATCATCCTTCATTGGATGCCCGTTCCTTGTCCCTGGTGCAAACCCTGCAGGACACATTCATGAGCTCAGTCACGATATGTGACAATTTGTTCACGATCTAGACATGTTTACGAAGACTTCGTCTAGATCTGCTGTAAAGTGAAAAATAACAATTTTCCTGAATTGTTTTTCAAGTGCGACTTGCGATTTTCTTTGTTAGGGAATAAATGTTTTACTATAGTCGAGAATATATTTTACTTCCCCTCTTTTGTCCAGAGATACTGCACAACCGTGCCAAAATGGGGGGTGTTTCTAAAAATTTTTTTTTCTCGTGCTTAGATACGAAATAGAATTGTGAAATGCATAAATACATGTATATGTACATTTTCTAGTCCTTAGATACGTCATAAAATTGTGAAAGCATTGTTTAAAATGCACCAAACAAACACAAACAAAGGGACAGTTGCCTTTCTTCATCTGTTATTTACCAAAATATGTTGTTACTATCTTGGCTAAAATCCCTCTTCATCAATTAAAATCGAAAAAAAATGCAAATTGTGAAATTGGCCAAAAGCCTTTACAGTTGCTAATCACAAGCCAGCCTCTGCTTTTTATTCCAGCTGTTTTGTTTACATAATTTTAAGTTTTGAGCAAGAAATTTAGGATAAAATTGTATAATTCAGCTTCCATAAATTTAATTATTCCTGGCCAATGCACAAACATTCTCCTCCTTATAAATCGTGACACACGTCCATCCTTTGTTTTGTTTTTTAAGACCAACTTCGAATGACTTGCTTTTCCTTCTCTATTCTAGCCGATCATCTTGCTGCAAGATTTAAGGCTAAAACTTTCCAAACAGTTCACGTCTTGACCTGCAGAGGTGACATAAAGCTTTGACTTTAGAAACCTGCCGATGTTCTTCACCTATTTCTGAAGCACGTTTAGAAATAAGACAAAGGACAAAAATGTGGTTAAGTTGAGTAACTTGTCTGTTTGTCCGAGTAGATCTTAGCCGTTACAGAGATGACATTTTCTGATAGATTAAAGAACAGTGTTTCGTTCTGGCTGACGTTGCATAACTTCTCTTTCTGTTTTTTTTAAAACTGATGGCATGTATTCTTGCCATTTTCTTCCAACAACCTCTTCACTATCCTCATGATAGATCACGCCGCTCTTTCAGGGTCCCAAAAGTTAGCTTGAGTCCCCAGTAATTTGCACACTACATTAGGTAATATATTAGGATAAAATGACACATATGCGGCTAAGTTGTTGCTACTGAGCAAGGCACGCCTAGGATATAACTGTATCAAACTTGATGCTGTTTTTTGTTTAAAAACTCCCTGGTTTCTAATCCACAGTAAAATCAGGTCTAACGACTTTATAGTAACGAGTTCTATTTGAATTCCGTGACATATCAAAAATTGGCCATTGCTTAATATTGCACATTTATAGGGTGTATTCTATTTGAAGAGTTAGTTTCAAAAGATGGAATGTATCGACAACATTCCTGCATGTTCTCGTATTTCAACCGATTCTTTTTTTTTTTTACTAATACTCGTTTTTTATTCTTCTTTAAAGAGAATTAAAACTGACGTCGCGCATTATTCCGAAACGAGAGAATATCATCGTTCTCAACAGACGTGTATATTGGTGTACGGCTGTTATTATCTTCTTCCTCATTTACATTGAATTCTTTTTATACTTTTTTGGTACTCTTCGCCGTATGTATTTCTCTTTTTGCCCTTTTAAGTCAATATTTTCATACGCCCAAATAAGTTAGCGGTTGCAGTGACATCTGTCGGCACCATGTGGATGACCGAAAGTAACAAGGGTACAGAGAGGTTGTTCGTTGACGTAACTTTGTTTCTCACTTTATGCCTTAGCAACCGAGGAAGGCACTGCCTTTTCTATCAGCTGCTTCTCATCTTAATTTTGGGGAAAGACAAAAGAAATCCTCCAGAACGCGCTGTTTAGAAGCTAGAGCGCTCATTGTTGATTATCCTTAACTCTTTTCTTTTAAACGGTGTATACACGGATAGGCTTACTACAGACGCTTTTGATATAATGAAGTACCTTTGGAAGCCGCTCTCTAGAATTATTTGACGAAAAGTAACTGACTGTACAAGTACCTTAATCTGAATTTTAGCAAATTTTTAGTCTTTTCTTTCGCCCAATTAATTATTCTTAATGTCTATCTTTAAACTAAAGATCATGGAAATCAATTTCTAATCTTTAATTGAAAATTACAATAATCTATCAATTTTGTCGCAAAATAATAAAAAACGAGTTTAAAGTTACAAATAAAATTTGCAAAAGATTTTCATTACAATGTTTATGAAGACACGAACGAGCAATTTAAATTTAAAACCTTTTTTATTATTGGCATAATCTTGTAAGTATATATTCATATATATTAAATCTATTTTCAACTTTTAAATAAAGTCATAACACGCATGTATATATATATTTATATGCATATATATATATATTATTTAAACGCTTACGTATGACGTAAACAACTACAGAGTACGCGCACTGATATTTACATATAAACACGTGGTTTAAATATGATAATATATATTTAACACAACAAGTTAAACGAAACAAATTGGGAATGATAAAAATTGGGAATTATTGCCATTGGTTGATAAAACAACCCAGCATTCGCAAGTCTGTCCTGATAATAACAGTCTGGCATTCAACCTTGGAAACCTGATGCTTGAATATTGTCGCCGACTTGGGTCCTGAGATCACGGAGAGCTGGGCACGGCAAAGGGACAGTTGTCGCTGCTTCCCTATGCACCTTTATTTTGTCACCTTGCACATATTTTGAGTCGAAAATGTCGCTCGGAAAAGAGTCAACCGCTTAACGTGGCCATGTATGGAGAGAAAGGTGGTCTTTGGACAGGATACGTCATGTAGTAGAGAGAGGGCGGGGCTGCAGTGGCTGCAGTCGATGGGCTTTCCGAAGGGGAGTAATAGTTCGGTGATGAGCTCCCTACGGGTGTACCGCCTGGACTGTTCTGGAGTTCATAGTTTTGCATTTCGTATCCTTCTCCTGGGAACTGCGGGCGACGGGGCGGGGAATTTTCTGCTTTGATATGAACATTGTCACCACTGACAGCCTGGGTGAAGGTGTTTCCGGTCATGTTGCCATGGTTACCAACAGAGTTCGGAATGTTTCCATGGATACCAACACTCTCTCCCTGAATTTCTGTATTTACGGAGACTGGTTGAAAAGGCGAGAGATTCATGGAATTTGGGACGCGGCATGTGTTCATCCAGTTCCCGCAGCAGACGATCCAGGACCTCCGCTGTAAGTTGCCGGTGGGTTGTGGGCCGAGACGCCGTTTATCATTTGAGGCTGACCAACAAGATGGCGGCCATTCAGCTGTCTGTTTGGAGGTAAATACTGATCCAGTTCTGTCTCGTCAAAGTGCTCTATATTCCCAATGACATCTTCTCTGAGTTCGCCAATGTCCACCCGACTGAAGTCTATAGGTTGGCCTCCTGGACCTAGAGGGAAAAACAGAAAGTTTTAGTGATTGTCGCTACATAACTGAGTCTTTGCCAAATTTTCATTTTTAATGTACACCTACATGTACCTGTTTTTGCCAAATAAGGCCTATTTAAAATGATACTAATTCTACTAAAGGGATATCCTTTCATAAATGCATGGCATGAAATTTTACTTCCTCAAGTTCACTTATTTCCTTGTTCATCTTGTTATGTAAGAAAGCTACCTGAGAAATGTCTGAGTGGCTTGGTCATCAAGGCTTGTGGAGTGGTGGGTGGGGTCAGGCTCTGGTGGTTTGGCAAGTTTCGCGAGCTATTAGCAGACATCATACAGGAGTCGTCGTCACTGCAGCCGGGGGACCGAGCTGGCTCACTTATTGATCGCAGGAAAGCTGCTTTGGACTGCTGTGTGCTCGTCTCGCCAGAAACGCTCTTGATGTTTTTCCTGCGCCGAGGCTGGTACTTGTATTCAGGGTGGTCGTTTTTGTGTTTCTGTCGCAGACGCTCTGCTTCGTCCATAAACGGCCGCTTCTCCCCTTCACCTAACATTCTATAAACACAAAAGGAAAGTACACATGAATAACACAGTCTTGTCGTATAAGTGTTGTGTGTTTTCCTACGAAATGAAAATGATTCAATATTATTAGTCACAATAACATTTTAAAGCAAAACGTTTGTAGGGCGATCAGCTTACGTTTCTAAAAATTCTGACTTGGAGCGTTCAAGTATCACGAAAAATAGTGTTTTATGTACACAATCATATGGGTAAATGAATTCAGAAACTTTTGTGAAAAAAAGTTCCGACAAACAAAAAAGACAGTTATCGACCACGGGGTCACTATTTATCTCTGATAATACTTTAGTTGCTGTCATTCCTGCCGCCATGGTACATTGATTTGTCCCTACACGATTCCGCAAAGTGTTTTTTCTCCCACTCTTTTTTAAGCAACTTGCTAGTTATACCATTTTCATAACATTATCATATTTATTTATCATATTTATATATCATATCATATTTATATATCATATCATATTTTATATTTTGTTTAACGCTCATAGGACCGGTTCCTAACCAGAAAATAGTTTATGCCATAGTGTTGACGGTTGCAAGGGGCTGTGAGTGTTTAGCATCAGCTCCTGTATCACAAATACAAAAACATATAAATCAACCGACCACCTCTTCAGTATTAGTGCTTAAATTACAGAACAACCAATATTTCATTCGAAAAACGGGTCTGAAACTATCCAACGGGGCACATCGATCTATTAAACCCTGGACCTCGAGACGTTTTAGGTAGTGTTTCTCTAATAGGAGCACAACTGAGGGGGTTTATGGAGGCGGATCACGCAACGACTCGACTCGGAGCCCATGAAATCTTCCAATCAGCCATGCAAATGCAGAGGTCCGATGATATCTACGGGCCCATTGCACACGCTCGTTCACCGCCATAGTGGAGATGCGGTGGTTTGACATGCCATCTGAACTGTCGATTCCACATTAAAAACCGGGTACCTGGGACGCCAGGAGCCCAGAGAAGATTATCAGCGCTTAAAATTACCATTTACACCGCAACATTAATTTCCCCAATATTTTGGAAATTGTGTATAACTTGCTAAAAACCGCAACGTTTACACGTAAAAAACGAGAAGAGTGCAGTCATGCGGAAAAGAGCAACATCGTCATCAAACCCGCAGACTAATTTGAGGTTTCCCATAATTTGGTCTCTGAAAGAATCCCTGCGTCCTAAGTCCATATGAAAAATTGGAGCCCATTTTCCACACGGATCATTAAACAGACGTGTGATATCTTCACACTACCAATTTTCCTAATTTTTCTCATACCACCAACGCGGGCGACTAACTTATAATGAACGTATTCGCGTCAGGTGTACGGTAACCTCGGACAGTATCACTGACCGATACGAATTTCTTTGATCTTCATTGCATAGATAGTTGGGACAAGTGCGTGTCGGTAAGTGTCTTTTCTTGAGCCACACGTACGACAGGGGCAGTAATCGCGATAATTACCCGGGTAGCCCTTTTCAATCATGCCGATACATATAAAATTACGCTCACTGGTGCCAGGGTCTGTAACCGTCAATTACGCGGCCTATCTCACTACACCCATGCTGGTGATTTGGGTACGTAATTCAGCTGTATAAAGAGCAATGTAGCACGAAGGGGCGATCAATTCCACGAAATGCCGTGACTTCGCGCCCACTGTCAGTATGTTCACGATAATCGTCACCGGGTACTAAATGATGCATAGGTGTGGAAAGTGCGGAGGTAGCCCATGATTATGATAATTAAGAAGGAACGCATTAGGGATGCGTTTGAAGTGATTAAATGAAAACTTTAAACGCGAGCTGACTTATGTTAATCGACATCAAATTAGGTGGAAAATCTTAATTATATATCGCTTTGTTTCAGCACAGTAGACACCTTTATTCGTTGTAGCATTTTGTCAATTATCCAAGTGCGAAAACTACTTATCTATGGATATTATGGAGACTAAGATGAATTTATGAACATTATATAGCCCGGTTTAGGGGATTTATTTCCTAAAGCCCTGTGGACTATTACGTTTCACCAAGGAAGTCTCGTCTTTCAACTTCCTTAATTATTCAAGATTCATATCATTACAGAACTACGCAAATGTTTTTAATTCAGCATATTACTTTATAATATATATCTGCTTTGCTATTTAATGGGTAATTTTACTAACAATTTCCTTATTTTAGTTACGAAGAGCGTCAACATTATCCTCACCAGAGAGTTTTAAAAGAGACATGACGAAAATAATTTAAACTCAAATCCACTTTCACATAAGAGCAGGCTTCCATCAAAATAACACATTTCCTTCACATTTACTTCCCCTTTTCCTTTTAATCAAAACGCTTCCTTTATTAGTGGTCAACTTTCTCTCCCAGTGCGTGACAGTGGGTTAACTGGGCTTTATTACCGCACCGCTTGTGTAAAGTAAGCTGTGTATATATCGGGGATGCAAGAATTTCGTGTACATTTATATGATGTATTTCTCGTGTGTGATCTTACGCTCTTACCATGAAACCAATCAGTCTCTTATATGACGCTAGCTGTAAAAACACATTCATCATACCGACTTCCTCGTGAATCATTTTGTGCTTGTTTGTGTGCAAACTTTGATCAGTCACTGTATTTATTTCTTTGTAACTACCAGAGAAACTGAAATAGGTTTTTTCCTCTTCGCAAAGCTCATAAGAAATGAAACTAGCAATAGGGCTCTGTGTGTACACACCAACTGCGAATTTTAAAGTGTTTACAAGTTGTTGCATAATTATTATTAACCATAAATTGGGCATATACCTTGTTTACTAACAGATACCTGATTTCCAAGCAAAGATTTAAAAACACATGACTAGATCTGGGAGTGCATAATTAGGAAGTTTACGTAGCGAAATAGCCTTTGATATAATGCAACATGAAAGATGACATGAAAGAGCGAGGATTCCAGACAAAAACTGACTTCAGTTTCACATGTAATACAATATACAAAATTAAAAGAAAAAATCACGCCAGCTTACCTCCATAGCTTCCCCAGGGTTTTGCTGAGCTCTGCATTATGAAGATGTGGGTACTGATCTGCCAGTTTCTTTCTAGCAGCCTGAGCCCACACCATGAAGGCGTTCATGGGTCGCTTTATGTGTGGTTTCCTCTTCTCAGATGCCCCGGCACGCGTGGACATAGGAACTAGGGTCCAATCGTAACCTTTTAAGACATGGGCCACGGCCTGCTGGATTTCACTTGGGAACTCTGGGTTTGGCATCACAATCTGGGACACTTTTTGTTCCTGGCTGTCTAACTGCTCAATATCGGAGTCTCTGCTGTCGCTGTCCTCTGCGGTGCTTGAACTTGGAGATGGTGTGCGCTCGTTCTCAGCCATTGTTTAGGGGTTGAAATTATCCAGTTATCAAGTCTGAAAGTTCGGATACACAACCAGTTACAAACAGTCAGTTGAGTCAGTAGAGTGAGCTCCTCTGAAAGGTTTGAATAGGTTACCTTGACTTCCCTACACTACCTCTACTTATATATGACGTATGCTAATAAGCCGGCTTGCATGACTCCGCCTTCTCTCGCGCTAGCTGGTGATTGACGGCCAGGCACCCGCAGGCCGCACGCACCACTAACACATTCGTGATTTGCTTTCGTTTTCATTTGATATGCTAAACGCATTAATTACAGCAATTGTCTTAACGTCGTACATTAAGCCCATTAATTAAATCCCATTATTATTGTGCCCGGGTCTCGACTTTTTGCAGCCCATGTAAATGCCTTATTTCGCATAAGAGATTTATATCTGAAGTATGAATGTTACTTGCGTGATAGCGTTAGATGCGCGTTGCGTTTTTTCAACGTTATTTATCTTTTTAATTATGTTTTGATGGAAATTAACAAAAATCGAGGAGCAACCCACGTAAGGTCGACCAAGTACAAACTGTTGAGTTAGAACAGAGAATAAGACTGCTTTGGAAAACAATGAAGTAGTAGAAGCACTCTAGATAAAATGCAAATTCGGACGGCCATATATCGCAGATGCACCTGCACACCCTCTTCTTACCTTCACTGCTCTGTCTGGGGACAGTGTATCTTGCCCTGGCAGACAAGGCTAAGTAAGTTTTTGACTTGTAACACCCACTGGTTTTTAGAAAAGTCAATTGAACCGAGACAGTGTGTCTACGAAAAACAACTGTGAAAGACAATGATTAGGCCGTCTGTCACCCAAATGATATGTTGTCTAGCAAAATACCAACTTAACAAGCTAGAATTCAGTCCTCTAAAATTGATGCCAACTCACAGAGGTCTGTGAGGACGTAGTTAAGCTGTTTTTTTTTTAATTTTAAAACTATGCTAGCTGTCTGGATTTCTCTGAAAGTGTATTTGTCTGGTTGTAGTAATTACAGAGGCGCCTACGCTCAAATGCTCGTGCCTCCACTTCTCCCTGCATACAGAAACGTGCGTACACACACACACATTTTCGCAGGCACACGCTTCGTAATCTGACAGGACTAAAAAGGAAAACTGAAACCCCTGAATTTTCAATCTTTCTGCAGATCATTAACATCTACAGTTTGGAAGAATAGAAAAGAAGAAACTGTTAGAGGTACTCGTATATAAACAGTCGACGCCCGAGAACCCTCCGATTTAAAATTTGAACCCGGGATGGCTTTGGCATGTGCAAAAAAACGTTTCCGAATACCCGAGCATTATTGCATCAACGACTGAATGGCTTTGAAAGAGACAGTATAACCCTGTGACCACCCGATATGTCCGACAGGTCAGATATGTCCTACGACCAGAGAACAGGCCAGATATGTCCGAAAAAAAAGAGCCAGATGTGTCCGACAGGCCAGATATGTCGGACACAACTGGCTTTTTTGTCGGACATATCTGGTCTGTCGGACACATCTGGCTTTTTTTTTTGTCGGACATATCTGGCCTGTTCTTTGGTCGTAGGACATATCTGGCTTGTCGGACATATCGGGTCGTCACAAACCCTAACATAGGTATTTCGACCGTTCTGACTCTATTACTTCAAAAAATTCACCAGACGATTTGTTCACATTTGCGACTATTTCTTTTCTAGTCATGGACATTTCCCAATTTTCCCCGTACAATATTTGCGACATTAGAAACAAATGTATCCAAAAAGTTTTTGTCTGAAGCTGATGTCTTGATTTATCATAATATGACCTATTCACGCGATTAAATGGCGTTGACGGTGCATGCTGTGACAGAATTACACAGACTTCTGTCAGCCCGGTCGTTATAAATGTGTCGGCTACATAATCTAAATTTGAATCAGAGGTGCAATTAAGTGTATCTATGTATAACACGGAGACGGCGATACTAATTCATTACTCGTCCCTTTTTCTCCCTCCTTCGTTTTGTCACATTTTTTCTCATTTTAATTCAGTTCGTTCGCTGCAGATCGTGCCTTTGTACATTATGTTCAGTTTAGCAGCAGCGCCGCACTTTATCACCGCTACAACGGGACAACCCTGGAGTAATGGTTTCCGACTCAGCAGGCATCGTTCACGTGCCCCATGGTGCTCCAATTTTTTTCTTTTCCTTGATTGAGATAATTAAATGACTATTCATCGCTGATTTCGGCATTGGTTTGATTTTCGATGTAAAGCTATGCTAGAGCGTAGTGTGCTACTTAGATGGTTCTTTCTTTTCGTTGGTTTCCCAGATTTTGGTGTTCTAACATATTTTGTTTCTGTACTTAACTATTTCGTGCACTTGAAATGTTGGAAATTTCAATTTGTTAAGCACTCATGGACAAAAACTCTTGTTTTAAATGCATATGAAAAAATGAAGGCATTAAGAGTGAAGTTTCTTTCCATAATCAACTGGAAGTCATTTTGTTCCTATTCCTAGAAAATGTAACTGTTAACACTCATAAAATATATCGACTATCATCTAATATACATTAGGATTTGTTTCAGATGCACTGCGTTCTCATACTGCTAGATGGCTTGGGTATTTTGCGAATCCAAAAAACATCTTTAATAAAATTTACACCAATTATGTGTGTAACGTGATCGGTTTAGAGCTTTTAGGTGGCTTACTGAGATCAGGGTGTCGACAACCGCTTGGTAGCTGTAACAGTAGCGGTACAAGAAGTTTGATTGTAAGGGGTGAATCACAAAAGGGAAATGAAGAAGGAATTCGGGAAATATATTACAAAAACAGATTTCCCGACAACTTCGACTGTTTCCTTTACGACGTATGGTCACTATAATATATTACATGCATGCAAAACACTGTGATCAATTATACGTACAAGTTGTGACAATTTCTGTGTTTCTCAATTCCAGAACTTTTCGCATCATCTTGTATAGGTATAATTTTGGATAACATGCAACAAGGATTAATGTCACGATTCGTTTTGTTTCTGAATGTTAGTTACCAATACGAGACCTGTCCTTGAGGTCAAACTTTAGTCCATTCCCATCACGGCACACACACTGGCACACACACGCATGCACACACACACAAACGCACACACGCGCGTGCACACACACACACACACACACACACACACACACACACACAGTGTTGCTCAAAATGACGGGCACACCCTTGACAATTTGGTATTTTAACAATAATACAGCTGTGCATTAAAGAAAAATTGATGTTTGTAACAAAAAGAATCCATGGATGTTAATGCTGTTCGTTACAACGATACAATGACACCACACCTACGTTCGATGTATGTAAATTATTTTTACATGTATGTAAATTATTTTAAGGTCTGGAAATCATTTTCTTTTGCAATGCACATGCTTGTGATCATTTAATCTATATCAGTTTGGTCCAAGCGTATCTAACTTGCCCAGTTTCGATGGACATTTCTTCATGCGTTGGTCTCTTCACTATTAAAACTGACTTACGACTTGATTTTCAACGTGTTGCTGTATTGAAGATGATCTTACAAATTAAAGTTGGAAAAATGACTTAAAGAGGTTTATTTTCCTATATGGAAAAAAACGTAATTTAAATTGTTTTAAAAGTGGGGAAGATTGGGAATGGTTGTAGCACTTTTCGTTTGAAAAATGTAATTTTATAAGTTTTGTATTCAAGTCTGATTTTTGTGGCATAAAAAGAACTGAATGTAAAGATCACCCGCAACTCTTTATTTCAAGGAATAATTCTTGAGTTTTATTCAAAATTGCGACGACTTGTACATGAACCAATCACGTGCAAATTTGTTAATGAAAATCAACTGACAGCATGTCAGAGTTTTAAAAACACATTCTATTAAGGAAAACTTATATGCAATATATAACCATAGGGTGTGCAAAAAAGTGAATGAACTCATTTTCACATGACAGCGCATTTAATATCTAAGTTAAATCCAACAACGTTACTGTTAAAAATTTGATAAGCTATTACAACTATTAGAAACCATAGAAGATATCTTAAAGTGGATCGACCTGCAATGCACTAAATGTTCTAAATGAGTTTTAAAAACACATTCTATTAAGGAAAACGTATATGCAATATATAACCATAGGGTATGCAAAAAAAGTGAATGAACTCATTTTCACATGACAGTGCATTTAATATCTTAGTTAAATCCAACAACGTTACTGTTAAAAATTTTGATAAGCTATTACAACTATTAGAAACCATAGAAGATATCTTAAAGTGGATCGACCTGCAATGCACTAAATAATCTTTAATTATTTAAATTTTATTACAATCTATACATATAAACCAACGACGTGTTAGGACAAACGCAACCCATTATTAGTTAATGGAATAACAAGCCTTCATATAGGATTCAAAATTCCACAATAAATACATTGTTAACAACGCATAGAAATTTAAAAAATCCCATTTTACCACCAGAATGTTCTGAATATTTATTATGGATTCATTAACCATTGGAAAGTATGGAAAATTGTCCAGGGATATACGTTTTATGGCACTTTTCACCCCAAAATGAAGAGTCGTCATTCCTTTAAACCTATTGGTGTTTGTGTGTGAGCTAAATACATCCATATTCTTGAAAATGAAATGTTTTATCTGTAGTGCTGAATTTCGTACCATAGGAATTCATGACATAATATATGAAGTTGTCTATATTTTCTTTTGTTTTTATGCATAAAATTACTTCTGGCGACAACTTTTTCATTTATTTTCATTCATTTATTATTTTCATTATTATTTTCATTCATTCATTCATTTATTGAAATAAAAAGGAAAGAATAAGTCAAGAAAAAAAGTAAAAGAATCCTTTTTGACAAAAATAACTGTCAAATCTTACACAGTATACAAAAATAATTATCATTTAATGCCAATGTTTTACCAATAAGACAACAACATAACTTATAGTTATGACGTTTTTAATTTTTGACTTAAACGTGTATGTTCAGGTTTATTACATGTAAAATTATGTTCTACTTCTATTGTCAAAATTATATGATTTCACTAAAATCATTCCAAGAGTTCGTATATTGAACTATTGACTTCTGTACTTTTGCGTTAACGGGTCTTTTTCAAAAAAAT